ATTAATTAGCAAATAAATGTAGCAAAAAAGGTTTTTTTTTTTTGTTTTTTTTTGTTTTTTATCAGAAATAGGCATGAAAATTGCCACCTGTTCAGGAGATTCTTCAGGAGAATGCTACAGAAAAAATTAGTTTTATTCCCACCCCCCTAAAGAATTTAATATAAGCTAGATTATTTTAGGACCTTACTCTAGGAATTTAGATATAGATACAGCAAAAAGCTATTTTAAGACTTTTTTGTTTTTGCCTAGATTCTGATAGTATATGCTATAGCAAAAGCCAGATGTGGTAGACAGAGTGGAGGCCTCCCCAAACATGTCCTAATCCCTGGAACCGGTGGATATGTTACCTTACATGGCAAAACAGACTTTGCAGATGTGACAGTATACTCTAGGGAGCTTGTTGTGGAGATTATCAATGTATCACATGGGTCCTTATGAGAGAAAAGAGGGAAGCAGAGAACAGAGGGGGTCGGGGAGAGATTTGACTGGAGATGCACCTGCTGGTCTTAAACATGGTGCCAACGAATACAGGTGTCCTAGAGAAGCTGGAAAGACCAAGGAAGTGAATTCTTTCCTGAAGCCCCAAAGGAACTCAACTCTGCTGGCCCCTCTTGGACTTCTGACCTTCAGAGCTACTAAATTTCTGTTTTCTAAGCCATTAAATTGATGGTAGTTTGTTATAGCAGCCACAGGGAACTGATATACCAGGGTTTTACCTGAAGCAGCTAAAATCAACTGGATAGCATTATGGTGGGCCACAGGAACAATGACCTCAGTGCAGCCAAGATTGCAGCCAGTGTTCTCCTTCTTCATTTTCCTAAAATAAAATATGCAGTACAGGTCATTGATGTGGCTGCCTCTCCCTGCTCTGGGCTGTTCTGGAATCCCAGGCTCAGTGGTGATGGCCAGCACTATCCCACACCCCTTTGGAAGCTACTGGTATTTAGGAAGAGCACTTTTTCCTTGTTATACCTGTTTTCCAAGAATTTTTATGTTGTGCCTTTTACAGGATAGCTTCCATAAATGTGGGTTGATTGAGAGAATGTTAATTACACATTTGTATGTCAGTTTACAATGCCATAAGCAGTGGTATGTTAGCACTGGCCCTTAATGGCTTGCAAGAACTGATTGTTAAATTTTCAGGAATTTTCAAGTTGGTTGTTAAATAGTCATTATTAAGTGTCCTATATAATAAAAAGGGTGATATACAAATAGATCGAACAGCAGAACAACCAACTATTCAAAGTATAATATGTTAATGATATGCTAAGGCTGCCTAACCACTTGCTCTGATGTGCACTGACCACCAGAGGGCAGATGCTCAGACTGGTAGGTTAGCTTGCTGCTGGGGTCCAGACTGGACTGAGTCAAATGGGCTGGACATGCTCTGGAGCCCTATCATGGTCCCTCCCTGGCCCGATTGCGCACTGGTGGGATCCCTCAGTGTGTCCTGGGCCCTCTCACAATCTGGGACCCCTCAGGGAATGTCAGAGAGCCAATTTCAGTTCTTGGGAGAGCACCAGATGCAGGGCTCATGACTAGTGAGCGCTGCTGCAGCAGTGGGAGCTTCCTCAGATTGGGACTGATTGGGCATGAGCCCACGGCAGGCACAGTGGAGCTGGGATGAGCAGGAGCAGCAGGCTATGTTGGACTGCAGATTTCGACCTGATCCTGATCCCCACAGACCACCCAGAGGGATCCCACCCTTGCATGAATTCATGCATTGGGCCTCTAGTTAAATTATATAAATGAAATGAATGATAGTGAAAGTAAAGGTAATAAATATTCAGAACCCATCACAACCTAAATATTTTACTGCATTTTACTATTACCTATGCTCTTGAAGTTATTTACATCTACTTTATCTGTATCCTGGAAAGAGAATATGTCTGTTACTATTCATCACTTCTAACTGAATTAGTAACATCATCTTGGTAGCTTGAAAACTTGGTGTGTGCACTAACAGCACAGAAATTGGCAAATGTTATAAAACCAATAATTTTTTTTTTCTCTGAGTCAGTTGTTAAACATTTACTAGTATAACACTGGTCACAAACCTAACCAGATCTTCACAAAAACTGTCAGATGGCATTCTTGCCCCCAATTTATTAACAGGGGAAGAGACCCAGAAGTTACCTAGCTTACCCAAACAGGGCTTCTGAGTCCTACCCGCATATTTCTACCATTTTACAGATGTCACATCTATGGTAATTGACTTGCTTCTCAGCCTTTTGACTAAGATCAAATAGTAGTAGTAGTACAATAATTGAGACTAATCAAGTAATGAATTTTTGAATTGATTTTCACTTTTCCTATAAAGCATTACTCCTTAGAAAAGTAATGGCAGAAATATAGTAAATTAAATGAAAGGTCACCAGGAAAAGTACAGAATGCGCAATTAAATTTTAATTTCAGAAAACAAAATAATTCTAGTGCGATGGATGTCTTGTATTTTTATTTGCTGAGTCCGGCAACCTGAATGAAATACTATGTTGGCATATTAACTATTAGGAAGAGTTCTTGCTTTAGCCCCATTATTTAAAAAAATCTCTCTCTCTTTACCACTTTACTTTAGTCAGCTCTCAACTTTTTTTTTTTTTTTAATATATTTTATTGATTTTTTACAGAGAAGAAGGGAGAGGGAGAGAGAGTTAGAAACGTCGATGAGAGAGAAACATCGACCAGGTGCCTCTTGCACACCCCCTACTGGGGATATGCCCGCAATCAATGTACATGACCTTGACCAGAATTGAACTTGGGACCCTTCAGTCCGCAGACCGACGCTCTACCACTGAGCCAAACCTGTTTCGGCAGCTCTCTCAACTTTTACTATGATCAAAATTAATTGCATAAAATTGCTTATGATCACCTAGTAACTGGGCTAGCAACTTTGAACTCCCAATGAAATTGTACCTACAAGAGACTACCAGTCTCCTTTCTGAGTTTCTAGACATCTCTAAAACAGTCTAAAACAAAATAGAACCATTTAAAAATACCGTTTTCATTGTCCATTTCATGACACAATTTAGCAGCCATTTCCTTGTAGGTCCTAACAGCACACTCAATGCCATGAGCACACTCTGGCACCAGGTATGTTCTTGCTAACATTTATTTTTAAAGTTTTAAAACTGAGAAGGTAAGTAAAGCTGCCCTTTGGAATTTTAGCTCTTGAGTGCACAGAGTATCTGGTTGGGATATTTTCCTAATGAAGCTCATGAATGTGTCTGGACCAGTAAGGCAACTGTTGAAGAACCCATTACTGCACCTGGCCTTGGACACCTGGCGATTGAAGCTGGAGCTATTGCTTCAAATGCTTGGATGCTCTTTATCTTCGACAGGACCCAGGGATCAATGTTAATGAGTTTCTCCGGAGCTATGGGGCTGGGAGTTATGGAAACCCAGAAGGCAGTACTTATGTAATTCTGTTTCTTCTACCTGTAGCTCTGATGCCAGAGGCCCCTGACTAAATTAGCCCATCTCAGCTTGGCACAACACTCTCAGAGCATCACCAACAGCAGAGACATTCTGGTCTTCCAAAGGGGTTGTATGCAGAGACTCAGAATCATAAAGGGAACAGGAAGTTGTTGTCAAGAGGACTTTTTAACACCTGCATGAATTTCCTTCTGCACAACTCAAACCAGGGAATATGTCCTATTGTTACTTTTGAAAAAGTGAAACCAGCTACTCGGTAATTGACAGTAACGTCTATACCACAATGAACTACCTCTAAGAACTTTACTATCTCATTCTATGACAAGCACGAAGTGGAAACATTGTGTTTGAGGCTACATATTTATCTCTCTCTGTAGGGACTGAAGCATTCCTGGGAGGGAATCCAGAAATATAGAGTCCTATAGTAAACAGCCAGCAGGTCCAGCAGTGTAGGCAATTTGTAGAACAATTCATATGGAAATTTGTCTACTGCTATATTCTGGAAATTAGCTTTTCAGACACAAAAAACAGGCATGAACAAAACAATCTTTTGGTTGTTTTTAAATTTGGGAAAGGAAACTGTTGACTTTAGACTTGGAGCTGAATTAAACTATGTAGAGCGAAGGGGAGCAAGTTTTAAAGGAAGATGGCAGCCAATTTCTTTTGTTATTTAAGTTTTTATTTTTTATTTTTTTCCAAGAACAGTTAACATTTACTAGGCACCTATCGGCCTCAGTCACTTGCATCTAAAGAGCAAAGCTAATTTACCCACAGCCCGTGTTCTTTTAAATGGTTAGCCTTATTTCTTAGCTCTGTTAACCACTAGTCTAACATTTGCTTCAAGTTCCATTTTAATAATCTAATCCATCATTGTCTACTGCTCCCTGTGACATGAACAAAGAGAGTCTGGGGAGGAGTAAGGTGAGCAGTGTACATTTCCTGTGGATACTTCAAGTAATCGGCCCCCAAATGAAATTATTGAGTTGGCCATGGTTTATCGTGTTCTAAGGGCATAAAACACGGAGGGAAACGGACCTGTAGAAAGAGTTGGCATTGGAGAATGTGTAAATGTCTGAAAATCCTATAACTTCACTTCAACCAGCCTACTATCCTGAGTCACTAGATGGTCAGAAGAATAGATAAAGGATGAAAGGAACAGACGGATGCACATTTACACTGAGAACCAGGAACAGGTTTGTACAAGATGAACAGCAAATGAAATTTGCTTCTGTCAAAATATAACCTCACACAGGTCGTTTTTGTACATACGTGGACATACGCACACCCCACACACGCACAGACACACGAGCAAGAATGTGTATTTTGTAAGATAGGTCCTTGGAAATAGACATTCTTAGCAGATATGAATGACAGATCAATTGTAATTTATTTTCTTTTTAACACTGTATCATCATAAAGAAAACTGGTATAAATGAAAAAGTCTATTTCAAATATCTACATCTAAAATTGTAGGCAGTGAAAAAGCACTTCGTTGACAAGGAGTGTGGAATGATGTGTGTTAATTGTCAGAAACTGCTGAATGCCTTGCTTAGTTGCCACAAACGAGTTCACATATCAGAACGAACAATACTGCTAAATATTCCTTTTTTTCTCCATTTTTTTTTCTTTGTTAAAACATACCGAGAGAAAGGAAAGGAAAGGAAAAAACTGGAAATCCATACATCTTCCAAACGTTTTGAGAGTGAAGCAATATTTAGAACCATAGATGAGGAAACACTGCGGCCTCGGTGTAATATACACAACGCGCTTCTCTTCTTTAATCTGTAATGTACATCAAATACTTTACAACAATGCATTAACAAAAGGCAAGAGACATCTTGCTGTACAGAGGGACCCCAATGCAACCGGAAGCCTAGAATCACAACAGATGGAGAGAGGAAACAAAGCGTGAGAAGCCGTCCTTCAGGAGTGTGTGACCCGTGCTGCCTGCCTCTGTGCTTATAACCTCTGCGCCCCACCGCCCCACCGAGGCCAATGGGCCGCTGCCTGTGCTGTCTGCACCACATTCAATACCCTTGCGTACCCTACAGCTCAAACTAGAAAGGTGTCGCACCAGGTGGGCACCTTTAGGATCGCTTTAGCTTTCTATTGACGTCCACGTTAACTTTCGATTCGCTTTAGCTTTCTAAAATAGCTCTTCGTATTTCCTTACTGGTTACCATGGCCTTCCTACGGAACAGGCTTTCGCAAACTAAATTTGCAGGGGGGGAAACTTAAAAGAAGCAATGTCTCGTGGTATGCATGCACATGCACTGTTCCCGGAGCGCCTCGTGCCACCCGCCTCACACCCAGGAGTCAGGGGAGGCAGGGTAGTGGCTCGTTTCATAGTTCAGTTCACTGTAGGGACGGGCAGCTGAGTAGAAGTCGACGTAGTTGCCCGTGGACTTGAGTCCCAGGTGCATGGTGTACTCGCTGGCGGGAGGGCGATGGTGGACCTGGTCCTCGAAGAAGGACTCGTCGTAGTTTCGCGTGGAATTCTGAAACGGCTGGTAGGTCTCATAATCTTTCCTGCTGGGCTCCTGTGGGACTGGCTGTGCGGAAACCTGCCCGGAAGACAAGACCCACCTGGGTTAGTTCGTTTCCCCTGGATCCAACCTCCTCCTGGATCAAGACAATCCATGCTCCTCAAGGTCAAGGCTGGGAACGTCACCCAGGCAGCAACCAGCATGACATGTCCCCTAATACCGCCAACTATTTAATGGCCCTTCTTTAAAAAATACTGGTGACAGGGTCCACATGCCACCATTCGAGTACATGAGTTTGAAAAATTATTATTGTGGTGAAATATGCACAATATAAAGTTGACCATTTGAACCATATTTAAGTGTATACTTCAGTGGTATTAAGTACATTCACTGTATTGTGCAACCATCACCACCATCCGTTTCCCAAACTTTCATAATCCCAAACAGGAACTCTGTCCCCATTAAGCACAACTCCCCACTCCCCCAACCCGTTACAACCATCATTCTGTTTCTAGGAATGTGAACATCCTAGGTGTCTCATAAAAGTGGAGTCATGCAATATTTGTCTCTGTGTCTGGCTTCTTTCACTTAGCATGATATCCTTAAAGTTTTCCATTTTTTAAAAGGCTGAGTGATATCCCAGGTGTGGAGATACCACCATTGTTTCCCATTCATGGAGATACCCATTCATCTGTTGATGGGTGATAGGTTCGTTTCCATCTTTGGACTATTATCATGCTGCAATGAACAACATGTATACCAGTATCTGCTGGAGTCCTTTCTTTTTTTTTTTTTTTTGTACCCAGAAGTGGAATTGCTGGATCCTGTAGTGATTCTGCTTAATTTTTTGAGAAATCACCGAACTGCCACAGCTCCACCATTTTTCTAGATAAGCTTTATAAATTACAGAGGTATACATGAGATGCTATAGAACACAGCAGTTGATTTGTATCCTCCCCGCATTTTCTCTATTGTTCCTAGGAGCTGCAATCCCAGACAAAGAGTCTTTGGTTAGTGGGAAGGAATCTTCAGAATTGTCAGTTCAATGCTCCCCCTTTGCAGTCTTGTCCCCTGAGGTTACTGTCTGATTTAGGGGACCTTGAAGGTTAAAGGGATCACAGGAGACTTTGAGATATGTGAAGTCAAGAATTAGTTCCCTCTGCTTGGCATGTTCATAGGTTGATCATCAGCATTTATATGCGAGGGCCTAGCTATCTCCTTCCTTGCTGGGGTCCCTTTCTAAGACAACTCCCTTGAAGTGGGCAGAACCTCCAAAGGCGTGGGGTGAGGGCCAGACCCACGGCCAGGGCACACAGGCATGCACCGAGCTCTGCTTACGTGCAATAATCGAAGAGGATGTCTATTGTGAATGATAAAGAAACAGTTTGATCATTTTCGAGCCAATTCAGTAATTTCCTATTCATTTAACTAAGGTTTAGCATGGTAACATCCTCCAGAAATTGGTCTTAGTTAATAGATAATGATTTGCAATTAGCACGTTGTGTGTAAATGAATGCTTCTAATGGCCTTCACATAATTCTTCTTTCAAGTACACAAAACTCTCTCTTCTATGTAATTGATTTATTCTAGTAATCAACCTATTCTTCAAAGGGGTGAACTTCATCACAGCTGTCATCCAGTTCCTGCCACACTAGTAAGGGGTGGTTGAATGATAAAGTCCACAGGTATAGACATTTGTCCAAGGGTCTGGACATAAAAGGACATTGGAAATGAATCTGCAACATATATGATTAAATGCTGCTAAAACCAGGTCTACCAAATGACTTGGACAAGCTCTTCTTTGAAGAGCTGTGAGGTGATATTGAGCTTCTCCACTCTGACACAGTGCTGCTACTCAAGCATAGAGCATTCAGAGGGTTAGAGCTGGGAGGTTTGGGAAAATTATTCAGGGAGGGAACTAGAATTTACTGTGTTGCTTGTTGCTATTTCAGTGGGCACTATATTCAATATTTAACAGATTCTTCTTTGTTTAATCTTCAAATAGTAATATACATGTTTATGTCTTTCTATATCTATCTCCACCTCTCCTCCCTTCTTCTCTCTCTAGCTCTCTCTCAATTTTCCTCCCTTTCCCTCCCTCAATTCTCTTCCTTCCTTCCTTCCTTCCTTCCTTCCTCCCTCCCTCCCTCCCTCCTTCCCCCCCTCCCTCCCTCCCTCCCTCCCTTCCTTCCTTCCTTCCTTCCTTCCTTCCTTCCTTCCTTCCTTCCTTCCTTCCATCCATCCTTCCTTTCTTCCTTCTTCCCTCTCTCCTCCTTCCCTCTCTCTCTTCCTTCATCTGTGTCTATCTAAAAGGCTCACATTAGAGCACCATTGGTACAGAGCAGGGAAAATAGGATAAGGCAGGAGAACTATGTTGGCATCTTTATCTCTTCCTAGATGGGTGACCAAAGGCAAACCTTACCGACCTGGAAAGTAAATCTCCCATTTTTGGGGACAATAGTTTTTGTCCTTCCACCTAGCAATGAGACGGAGGAAACCAACTAGGAACCCAAGAGGCTATTTTGTTATCATCAGTAATAATTTGAATCAAAATACCAAATCCCTTGGTTTCTAGTTTTTGTTCAGAATTTTTTCCTTAAATTTTTTCAAGGAAATCATTGTGACATGCCAATAAACTTGAGAAAAGAAGAAAGTGTTTTATTTCAGACTGCTATTGAAATAGACTATTGAATATAGTGCCCATGGATGATGTCTACAGGTGTTTAGAATTTTATTAACAAAAATTCTCTTGCTATTTGGATAGAGCAGTTAAATCTGCTAGTTTTCTATATAAGGATGGAATGGACTGCTAAAAGCTTAGTAGAATTTTTGAAGTGTTTCAGTAGTTAACTCTTAAAATTATGTCCATCACCTGTTGACTCCAAACTAAAAACCAAGGATCACAAATCTTATTTCACTCTAATGGATATTTCTCCTGGGAGCTTGGAATTCCCTGAAAATGAGACTGGAATCCTAGGTAGTCACAGGGGAGTGTCATAGCTGAACAGCAACCTGTCTCCTTTCCTCTGAGTCAGGGAAAGTGAGTAGTTGCCCAGGCTCCACCTTCACCGGGCCATGCATTGATTGCTTTTGCCTCATTCTCACCTCTCTTTGTTTTTTACCTTATTCTAGAGATGTACCTAAAACCAGTTTCTATTAGGGAATCATTTCTTCTGTGAGAGGAGTCACAGCCCAGCCACCTCTGTGAAACTCACGAGGCCTACTTGGTGCCTACAACATCCAGGAGACTAGAATGCTCAGCAGAGGACAAGCTTTGACATTGAAACTGAATGAACCCAGAGCGTCTCTCCTGCTTAAAGATGGCTTTATGTTTATGTCTTTCTATATCTATCAAGATGGCTTTTTACCAGTTGAGAGGTTGTGAGGTCACTCTTGGCTCAGGAAACTTCACTAAACAAAGGCATTCCATCTGGAGTGGCCAGCCATGCCCACGTGGCCAGAGAAACGAAATCATGGGTGATGTCTACAGTTATTCCCTAGACCCACCCAATTGGAAGAGAACCAGGTTGTCTCCTCTTTCAAATGGTTAGGATGGTCAAACTTAATTTAGTTCCCAAGTGGGAACTGCAGGTACAGCCAAAGTTTATTTCAATGGCAGTCTGAAATAAAACACTTTATTCTTTTCTCAAGTTCATTGGCATGTCACAATGATTTCCTTGAAAAATTGTAAGGAAAAACCCCCACTGTCTCTGACTGATATTTTATGTTTCTTGCTATTAGAATGGTATTAACAGTCTAATTGCCAACTTCCCTTTGCTGAACTGCTTAGGGTATAATGATGGCACTAAACTTTGGCCACAGGACTCAGCTCTGCTGGTGGCCTGCTGACAGCGTCTCCCCTGGGCTGACAAGTGATGTAAGGTTTGGTATCCATCCCTGCTGGGTTTCAGCAGCATTCACCTGAGATGTTGTGGCCTTGACATTCACACTGAGGCTGAGTTGAGTACATTCTGGGACACCCTGGGGAAAAGGCTATAGTAGGCTGTGCTCTCCCTTATAGTAGAGATGCCAACTTAGCACATCAATTCTAATTTGCATAAGTGCTCAGAAGAGGCTTAGGTGAAAAGAACCATTAAGGACTGCCCTCTAAAGCTAAATTACAAGCAATCCTTTGGAGCCTCCTGCAGCCACACTGAAAGATGTCAAGGACCTCTGGGCCACACGAGGGTGTTTCTTCATTGCCAACAACAGCGGAGTTCCAAAAGAAAATGGCTTGTGTGGAATAAGTGGATTCCGGTGGCTTCTATTGATCTATCTAAAGTAAAAACTAACCGTCCACTCTTGGATGCAAATCAGGGTCCTATCACATCCTACAAGCATCTTTAAAAGCTGAGGACAGTTTGCTCACTGTACCTGATATTTGCTAAGAGAAAAAGGGTGGATTTCCATAAACAGAATTGGCATTTCCAATATATTTTGTTTCTGTTTTCCTCTGTGTGTGGGCAGGCATGTTGACATATAAATAGTTGGGAGGAAACCCCTGGTGACCTCTCCTCTAGAGTTCATATCCTGACTTATTTATTCAGTTTATTCATTGGCTTATTTTGCTTTTAGCAAAGGCTAGAACTGAGGGAGGTTGAGTAGATATTAGCCATGTGTCAGGCAGACTGGAGGGTCCAGGTATTCATTGGGGGAGGGGAGAAATGGCTGCAAACAACACCAGATGTTTCAAGAGTGGCTGTGCATAAACTGGAAAATTGAGGGCAAAAGGATAACACCTCTACCCATCCTCATTTCTCCTGTTGATGGTTGATTAAAGCAAAAAAATAATTTCAGGTCTAGGAGATACTTTTCATGTCCTCTTTCTTCTTCACTAGAAATGGTCCTGCACAGGACATTCTACCTGCTAGAAAGGGCCCCTTCCCTTTTCAGAAATGTCCTGCTGGGTGTTGAGAAATGTCCACAAACAACCCATTGGCCTCCCATGTTGGCTTCCATCTGGATATTGTGATCAAGCAAACAGGTTTCAGGCTTATCCTTTCAGCCCAACTTTCCTGATGCCTGAGCGAAATCAAGCACATCGGCAAGAAGCCATTTCTCGCAACAGGTATTAGTATCCAACAGTTACAAGCATGCCATTCATTCTGTAATGAACACCAAAGGGGGAGAGAAGTATGAAATTGTCCATCAATGAAGAACCACAGGCTGTGCCTTTCGGCTTTTATAGTCTCCACAGAACCACGGAAAAAAGGGGCCTTGATGAATGTTTGTAGAATAAAACACATACATACAAACTTAGATCAGTTATTTAAGTATTGACTCCCAGAGCTCCTTAAACCTGAATGGACACAAAATCACCTGGACATCTGGATGAATGTGTGTCTGATGCAGACAAACCCTTAGTTGGGATAAGGGTCAGAGAAGAATCTCTGCCTTTCTCACAAGCCCCAGTGATGTTGGGACTGCTTGTTCTTCACCTGGACTTGGAGTAGCGAGGCACATTAAAATGCATCCTATTTAGTTGTTCCAATTGGAGTTGATGTGTCTATCTCATTAGTAATGATCACTCATAATGAATGCTTTCTTCTGAATGAGAGTTGGCTGGGTTATAGGAGTTACTTAATTCTTGTCTAGTAATTAGGCCATCGGTTTAGTAACCAGCATCTTATGCTCATATAATTGGGGCATGCCTTATTTCTTTTAGTTTTGCATCATAGTAGGAAAGTTGCTCTCTGCCAGGAAATAAAGTGTGTGGTTGTGGTGAAATCTAAGACTCTCTCCCAATGTGCGACTGTTCTAAAGACTGCACCACCCGCATGGAGGCTGGGTGATGCCAGCGGGAAGAGCGGCAGGAAACAATGCTTTCTTTCCATTGTTGTTCTTTATGCCTGTGAGAAAGAAGTTAATGTATCTTACAATTCTGGGACAGCTGACAGGAGTTGAAGGAGAAAATAAATACTACAAACGTTCTGTGTCTCCTTTACCTGGTTATGTTTGATGTCTTCAGTGGGCGCACCATATGAATTCCTATACAAAGTTGAAATTCCAGTATTTTGAGCTGAAAGCAAAGGGAAACAAATATATTACCAGAGAGATCAAGGTTTCAAATGGAGGACTAATGGTTATCGAGGCAAGTTCTTGCCCTAACATGCTTGGCTTCTCCTGGACCATTCCAAGTGGAAGAAAATCTTTGGCCTTTAACACCTCGCTCTGCATACAGATATTAAGAAAGAAGCATAACTCTTCTATAAAATCCCCATTGCATGGCAGCCTCCTGCACTAATGTTCAGAGAGTAGACAGGGTCAGGGCAGGTGCGACAGACAGATGGTCACTTTGAAAGTTTGATGGCCTTCCTTCCTGGTAAAAACGGGCGGATGATGAAAGCTTGTCACTTGCACTGGAGCATGCCGGAATCTGTACCAGCAGCTTCGTGTTTAGCAGGAGAATGTCAAGACTGAAATTTCTAATTTAAGTTCACAGAAATGCTTGGGCATCGTTCAGACTGTTCATTTCTCAAAGGCCGGAAGGACAGGCGGAAGCACCACCTGCAGGTGCCCTGTGCGTCTGGCTGGCCGTGGCTCTGGAATCCTGTTAGGCACATATAGGAGCCCCCTCTGTTTTGTGAGCAGCCCAAGGTCTAATTGAAAGTCTCTTCCAGTTATGGGCAGCTTCCAAAGGCCTGGGAAGGATGCTCATTTGCCCACTTCTTCACCTGGAAGCCTTGAGGCTCCTGCCACAAGCCCAGAGGAATGGCCCTGGGCACTGCTCCCTTCATAGCAATTATAGAGTCATGATTAAAAAAAGATTTTGAAAAGCCCCCCCCCCCCTTAGAGTGTCATTGAGTATAAAACACTCTAGAAATAAAGAAGGGCTTATCTTTTGCTTCCAGTATCTATGGGATAATGAGATAAGATGACACACCATCTATCTGTCATAGAGACAGGCCACTCTAGATACAGAGTCAGTGTAAGCTACTATTTCACCCCTGCTTATTACTATAAGCATATAATAACTGTGCAATAAAACTCCTCTTCTGAAATTCTCCTGGAGGAGTGAAGGCTGAGAGCCTATTTTCAATTTGAAACACCACTCAGAGAGACTCCAGTTGAATACACATCACTCCGGACTCTGTATTGCTGCAAAAACCACCAGCCCTCGCCTGGATCATGGCTACAGAATCCTCCCTGAAGGCCCAGTTTCCATTCTGTCCAAACCCATGCCTCTGTCCACCCTGTTCCCACGCTGAGTAATCATCTTCTTAGACAAACTGGATTATGGTAAAAACCAAGCTCCTTTTTATGGTCTATGAGGCTTTGAATGATCTGGCCTCTACCTCACTTTCTGAAGTGTCTCCCACTCTTCCCTTGTGTGCTGAGCCCTAGCTACGCTGGTCAAACCTGCCAAGTTTGTATTGCGTCAGGGGTGTTGTGCTTGCTGATCTTCTCCCCTAGATATTGCTTGCACACTCTGGACTGCCTCATCTTGCTGCTGGTTAGGTTTGGGCACAAATGTCTCCTCCTTGACCTTGTCAGTTACAGTAGTTCTCTTATCTCATTACTCTGTTTATTTTCTCCCTCAGGCTCAACAACCATGTGCCATCACCTCATTGGTGAGCTTGCTCTATTGTTTACCTTATGTACTACCTGCCTTCCTTTATGGGAGCACAAGCTCTATGAGTTGACACCTTTGCAAGTATCTCCAGCATCTCGGACAGTGCCTGGCCTTGGGGATGCTCACAGAATGCTTTATTTGCTGAATGAATGAATGAATGAATGAATGAATGCATAAATCAAAGAAAATCTGCTTTCTGAGGCATACTTTGTTGATAGAAATTATCACTTCAAGAATAAGGTGAAAAAAATGTTTCACTTGTGGCCTTTGCAGACACATGAAGCAGATGTCTTTGTGAATGCTTCACCCTGGATATGGATCTCAGAGTGGACTCATAGGAAGATGCCTTTCCTTTTCTTTAAAAGCCTCAATCTCCAACTGAATCAACATAATAAAGATTAGAATGGCTGCAAAAGGTATAAGAGAGACACTGACAAAAACAGAATAGACCATTTGATATAAAGGCATTTGGAAGCTTAGAAAGGAGGGCAAAATCCCCGGGGGAATATTCAGGTCAGGCTGTGTAGCTGCTAGGATCGCACAGCCCTCCTATGATGCGTGCTTCTGAACATGTAATGTTCCCAGGGATCATGACCACCAGGAAGCGCTATCAGTCCTGCAAGCCTGAATGAACAGCTGACTTGGCTTTCTGAAGGCTCCTCCATGGCAAAGAAACACTAAAGACAGACGCTTTTTGAGAGACTCCATTTAGGTGGAAAATGAATTCCAAAAAGGTGGGTGGAGGGAAGCCTGGAATAAAATCCTAAGTGGATCTGTATTTCTAGGACCTAATAGATGAGATTATAACCCAGGCAAGAAACTGCTTCTACTTTTTAATTTTTTCCAGGTTGCATTTTGAGGATGAAATTTCTCATGGTTTACCACAGCAGAGGGATTGTTTCATTGGGGGGAAATGGTAGGACATCCTCTGATGCCTTAGAAAAGAAGAAGGGAAAGTTTTAATGCATTGATCTATACATGTCCCCTGGATTTATAGGTGAATGAGAAAAAGTACTGCTCTTGATGCAGAGGTCATTAGACATCTCATCTGTGAGTAAATGTTGGAACAATGGGAACTTGCTGAAGTATTGCCAAGTGGAGGTTGGCAAGTCATTATTTCCGTTCCTATATGATTTATTGGCTCTCATCTGACTTGGCTGGGGACATACTCATACCACTATAGAAAGTGTCAATGCTATCACCAGCCTCAGCACACCATTATCTCCATCATCCTCATTACCAATACCCCATCCATCATCATTTCCGTCATCACTACCATCATCATCACCATCACCATCACCACCACCATCACTGCACACCACCACCATCATATCTATCACTGTACACCACCATCACCATCAGTATCATCACCACTACTATCATTCTACACTATCACCATCACCACCATTACCATTGCCACCATCATAACCATCACCGCCATCATCACTGCACAACACAACCACCATCACCACCACCATCATAACCACCTCCACTACCACCACCATCACAGCCATCACCACCACCATCACAACCGCTATCACCACCAGCATCATAACCACCACTACAATCATCACCGCCATCATCTCTGCACACCACCACCACCACCATAACCACCACCACCACCATAACCGCCACCACCATCTCTGCCCACTACCATCACCACCATTATCATCAACATCATCACCACTACCATCAACAACTATCTTTTACATAGTACTTGTTGGCTTAAAGGGAACCTTCCAGTATAAACACATTATTCAATGAAGATCTCAATGTTCTTCTAGGCTTGCTACATGACTGACAGTGCAGTATTGACTTGTGTTTTTAATAAATTAGAGCAACACTTTTTAAGCCTCTATTTGAGTTTGAAAATTTACACATATCTCAATACTGGAGTTGTCAAGATCCCTGCCATTTTCTAGGAAGACTAAAGATAAAAAACACATTAGATTTTATTTTATTTCATTATGTGTGCAGGGCATGATCATGTGCCATTGGAATTATTTCAACACAGAATCCACATTTAAAAACCTTTGAATGATTACACACTGTGCAGGAAAGTTAAAGAGAAAAGTTACACTTAAATGACAATGCAGTCAATTTCACAATTTTTCTTTTAATCATAATCTCAATTTATCATCCCAGACTGCCAATGAGGTGGCTAATCACAAAATGAATGGGTCAGGTGGATTTGGTGTCACTATTACTCTGGACTAATCAGGACAAATTAGATTCTTTGTTGAATGTTTTGACTCTAGGGACTCACCATCTAAATTCACAACTTTCTTTGTTTCTGCTCATCTATAACCAGGGTGACATTGATGGGGGGAGGGGGAGGAAAGCCAGTGAATGAGAATAATAAGATATGTCCTATATAATGAGCTCAGTCCTCTCATTCAGGAGATGCTTCAAGGGTGAGGGGTGTCATTCCCTTATAGGGTCTGTGTGTGGAGGCAGAGTGCTGACCTAGGAGTGGGGATCATGGGCAACTGTTTACTATGCTTTTCTCTCTGCGGTCCTGCAGAATTACCATGGAAACGCTGCCTCTGGGGTAAATACATTTACCACCAGAAAAATTTTCTTAGATATGTTGGTCTGGAAAAAATCTTCATAAATCATCCAATTTGTCTGTTCTGCTTCCTAGCAGGCTGCTAGATCTAAATAATATTAGAGAGATGCACCCTATGCTTTTAAGATTTTTCTGATAAGAGGGTCTCAGTGTGTGTTTAGGACTGTGTTCTTTGCACTCCAGTTTAATGACTGGCCCAGTCTGGCCCTGCTCCTCATGGCTGATTTTCAGGAGGGACCCATCTCTATATCCATGTGGCAAAGAAGGGTGGGACTCCTTAGTTAGAGATTTGGATGACTCTGGCAGCTCTGTTTCTAAAACATAACCCTCTCTACATCAATGCCCCCAAGTCCTTGGAGGAGGGGCAAATGGGGGCAGAGGGTAGGTGTGCAGAGACTCTGGAGGGGATGATGAAAGTAAGAGAGGCACACCCTGCCCCAAAGAGAGTTGTACAGAATAATGGGAGCGTTAAGTCAAGACTGATTATTACACAGGTTGTGCAGGGCACCCTGGAGGGGGCGGTGCAGGGCACCCTGGAGGGGGCGGTGAAGGGCACCAAGTTTGGCCTCCAGAGTCCTAGCTGATGAGAAGGGAAAGACAATGGGTATGATGGGGCAGTGAAAGATGAGGCACATAAAAGATCAATTCCTCCTTAGGGAAACTGTGGTCATTGTTCTAATGAATCTCCTTGGGAGTTTGGTTTCAAGGTAAGAGAAGAAAATGCCTCAACAGAAGTTCTGTGGGTTTTCCTTAATTTCTCTTCCTTTGCTGCCATCCCAGTCCCTTCCTCCCTTCCTCCTTCTTCTCTCCCCTCACCTTCCTTTCTTCTCTTTTTCTTATCCTCTTTTTTCTCCCTCCATTCCTAATGGCAAAACTTGATATGCCAACTAAGGAGAAAGCTATGATGACTTCTCTTTCTAATGCAAAGAAGTGAGCTGGGCAAATAAGAGGGAAAGGGCAGGAAAGGACTATGTGTGTAGAGGTCATTTTCTCTTAGCTCTTTTCGGGAGTACAATGCTAAGGTTTTATACTTCTGGCTTAATCTCCTCATCCCCAGTTCCTGGGGGTCTTCACTGTCAAACTCTCCAGTGACCTGCTAGCTGCTGAGTCCTGCTGAGCTGCCAAGCATGGCTTGAAGCCTGACGCCCCAGTCCTCTGCTCCATCCCAGATAGTCACCAGCTCCACGGGAGAAACGCATGAAGCTGAACTCACCTGTCATGGTGTCTTTCCTGGAAGTGTGTTCTCCTTTAGTCCCGTGGTAAGTGGCATTGCTGCCAGTGGACTCATAGTCTGTTTTCCTTTCTTTGAGGCTGATCATTTCCCGAGGTGAAGCTGGGGCACTTGCTACATAAAAAAATCAAAAGGATGACTTTCTGAGTCTCATTCTATAGCATGGACAGCGTTTCACACAAACAGTAAAGGTCAAAACACACCTGGCTCAACACATGTCAATGTATGTGCATGGATGTGTAGATTTTCTTATTCTTTGGCTCTTGTCTGTACCTATTCCCTTACCCTGTGTCACTTGGTGCTTTATAGTTGGGGGGACACATGGCTTGAAGGCAAGTAATTAAGAACTATATACTGGGGGCATCTTTCTTAGAGAGACCTCCTGGTGAGCACATGACCTGCCCAGAATGAGATGGATCTTAGTTTCTTTATTTCTCCCTCCTTTCCTTCTTCTCTTCGACTTCACTCCCTTTTTAAAATTAGATATGTTTCAGAGGAGCTATTACTGGTATTAAAGAATTTCTGATGAAAATAAACACAGTTTTGCTTAATTACCAAGTCACCCCAGCAACTCCCTAAAGGAAGGCAAAGAAAGCAGCTCTCCACACAGGATGATCCATGGGGCAAACAACCCGACCCACAAAGAGCAGCCTGCTGGGGTGGGCTGGGGGCAGGGTGTGAGGACAGCTCCCTCTTCTTGATATGGTGTCCTGCTCCAGCTCTTCGGATGAATGCCCCCAACAATCCTGCACCCATGCCTTACACCTTTGACTCTCGCTGCCTATTGGACCCCAGGGAATGAGCCCCATCTTCCTCTGTGTCTCCATTTCTACAATGATGGGTTCTAACTAGAAGAGTCCCCATGATTCTTTAGCAAAATGGTCCCAGAACACAGAAAAGGCCGAACTTGGAGGTCAAGAAGCAAACAAAAAGAGGTTTAGTTTCCTTGAAAGAGGGGATGACCTGGGAGGAACAAAGTGGCCCTGACCATGCAGAGACGTGATGGAGGACGTAGAGTAATACCTGTGCATGCTGGCCATGAGGCAGCTGGCGCGCAGCCCACCTGTGGTTGTTATCCTCATATGCTTCATGCTCCATAAGACACTACTCAGATCCGGAGCTTAGGCAATTGCATCTAGTCAGTGTGAGCTTAGCAAAGTACTGTTCTGCCTCAAAGCCTTGGCCAGCCTCCTGTGCTCAGGGCAGTGCTTCAGAAACTTGTTTAATCTTGAGACTCACCAGCCCTGGACCTTCTGTGACTGAATTTTCAGGGGATGGTTTGAGAAATCCATATTTAATAAGCAGACCTGCTGATTATTAAGGCTTGGGGAAGCTGGGAACTGGGATAAAATCCTCTTTCCTTGTATAGTGCCCAAGCTCCTTCCCAATCAGGCCTCAGTTTACCCTGTAGCTTATCCTTCACACCCTTTGCAGGATCCCTCAGCTCCAGCCCACTGTGTAAGCTTGATTCCTGAATGTACCCTTATTTTCACTGTCTGAACCTTTGCTTCATTTCATCAAATTTAGTGTCTTCTATGTGACAGACGATGGGAGACAGACAGATGAATGCATCACACCTTCTGAACCAGAGGAGCTCAGTCAGGTGAGGAAATGGACGTGCAAATAAACCAGAAGGAGAGGCGGGTGCTCTGTGGGCATTACAGCCAAAAGCTAGGAAAGTAAACAAAGGGGCCTTCCCATCACTTCCTGTCACCCACTTCCCAAATCTATCAAATAAAATTGAGGCTCACTGCTCAGCTCCTGAAACTCCTAGAGGTTGCCAGTCCTGGCTGCCCATTGGAATGAATCATTTGGAATACTTTAAAAAATACAATTGCTTGAGACTCACACAAACACAGATGGACCAGAACCTCTGGGTGTAAATCCAATAGGAAGACAGGGAAACAACCACGCTCCCCCTCTCCCTCCCCTCCTGGAACTGAGCGGGACTCTGTCCAGCTGCTGAGCATCTGAGCATCATTCTGCTCACCCCCACCTGCTTCCCTCACCTCTGCTCTGCAGCCTTCGCTCCAGGGAGAGACCCTTTTCTGCCCTTGCTCCTTTGCTTCTAGGCCTTTCTACATCAAAGGGAGTCTTTTGTTAGTCACTGCCAGACCATCACAAAGAGACACTATCTTGGGGGCTCTTGACCAAAGCTTCTAAAATTAGAATCTAATATTGCACAGATGGTGAGGCTTATTAAACCATGTCAAGTGTGTAATTATCTCCTGAGACCTCATGCACAGTGGTCTCCGTAAACCTAGGTGATATCTGGAAAGATCATATTGTGCAAATGAGTGTTTATGAGGTGTGTCTCATGTGCCTCGCCTCGGAAACACCTTAGCTGAATGCCTGGGATGATATCCTGATAGGGAGTCGCTGCTCCTTTCAGCACTTTCCAAGGTATTATGTCATTTCACAATCCTAACGCTGATTGGTTCTGAGTAATTAGAGCTGTTACAAAGACACTCTCCTCGAGCTTGCCAGGCTCACTGCTCTTTATCTTTTTACGAAGGATGGAAAGAATGCAGAACAGGCCCTTTCCGTGCTTCTGAGACAGACAGGAGTTTCCCCTGTCACATGGGGTAGGGTCCTGTCTTGTCTAGTGTGGGACTAATAAACATTACAAGCAGTAAGACTACTAAGAAATATAAGTGTTCATGGGGCTAGGAGAGGGTCATTTGTTTCAGGCAAACATTGCCCATTCATTTATGATTTCCCTCGTCATCCTGACACTTCTGTGTGGTGCAGTTTTATGACAGACGTCTCAAGGACAGAGGGGCCTCTGCGGATGTGTGTTCCCTGTCATGCCCGCTGAGCTACAGTTTCAGGAAATATTATTTCCTCAGCAGCGAGGAGCAGGAGAAACGTTCTTAAATAGAAGCCTATGCAGGTGTGTGTGTGTGAATGTGTGCATGAGCATGTGTGAGCATGTATATGTACATATAATTATTTATCCATCCTTCTCACAACAAAAACCAAAATGCAGAAATAAACAAAAGTTTTAAAAACTTAAACTTTGAGTAAAACCACAATAAAATTTATGCCATGTTTAGGGTGCACAAAATTTATGAGCACACTAAACATTGTGCTCATATTTTGCCTTTAATTTCTTTCTCTCATCTTTGGCATTATATTACATGATTGAAAAAGGGTGTAAAAGTAATGAGAAGGTGACAAAATAAGCAAAACATAGATTACTTAAAAGTTATAGTTGGTAGCAATAAGAATTTATCAATGATTTACTCATTGGTTGAAAAGCAATAATAAAAAGCTAATCAGATATGGAATAGTAATGAAAGCCTCAATGATGTAGTTTGGAAATATGTCATTCTGAATTAAGAAATAGCATGTCCCCTCTCCCTATTCTGTTGTCCTGATTACAATTAATAAAATGCAACTCAAACTATTTTAAGTTGGAAAAACATCCATGAAAAATGCTGATTTGCAAACACCTGGCAGTTTTCTTTATCTTCGTTCCTCATTGAATGTAGGCCTGTGACATGCATTTCATGACACACCGCCTGTCAGAGACTTAGAATCTGTTAGAGATTATTTCTGAGTCTGAATAACACAGTTGCCACTGCAATAAAAAGAAAGCAGTCATTTGATATTTCCAGCAAACATCCGGATGGGGATGGCTCTGCTAAGGAGCTGGGAAGGAGGGGGACTCGGCCTAGCTGGTTCTGGGTGTCTCTTACCTGAGCGGTTGTTGGGAGACACGCGCACAGGGGAGATGGAGGGCGTGCGGGAGGAGGAGTAGGGCCTTTGCCGATCCCTCTCGATGGTTGAAGATGAGGCTACAAAGTGATACTGTGACCATCCATCCTGCGAAGACAGCACGCTCTGATTAAGTGGAGAAGGCAGAGTGATTCTTCCCTTCCTGACATTCCCAAGTCCCACGCGTCTGAACTGGCAAACCATTTTCGGTAATCATCAAGGTTAAAACAGATGAATATGAATTGAGATCCACCTCCGGTTCCCTCCAGCTAGGCTGAAGGGGAGGGCCTGCTTTCAGTGCTTGTTTTCCTTCCCAAATGCGAGATAAATGGTCTCTTGGCAAACCTGCTTTGGCCAGCTTTCATTTAAATGAAAATTCCTGCTCAGAATGTGGAATGGCCCTGGAACTGTCTGCTCTTTGCCTACCTGGTTCCAACTCTCTCTGGCCCTCTTTTCAACCACCTTCTAAAAGTGTTTACATTCGTTCACAGGGCCAGTTGCCAAGCAGCATCCTCCCTTCTGGCTTACCTCTCTTACAGTGCTTTGAACTTCTTTCTCCGCCATAAATGCCCGATCTCCACCTGCTCAGGGCCTTCAGTGTATATTCACACTGAGTGTCTCGCCTCCCACTGGGTATTCAGGCCTAGACTCCTATGCTCTCTGCTTTGCCACAGAAATTGTGTTTTTCCATTTAGAGAATATGCAGAATGCATCCTATCACATTAATCCTCCACGAAGCTTTCAAATATCTACTTAATACATGAAAAGCATATATACAATTTTTCATTATAAAAACCATATAAATACATCATGGAGGATTTTATGAATTTAGAAAGCATCAAGAATAAAGTAAAAGTAGCCAATAATTCCTCCCACCTTCCCTGAGATGTCTTGAAAGGATGTTTTGGTAGTTCCTTCACCCTCTCTCTTTTTAAAGTCAAGTTCACTTCTATCGGAGTACACTGTCACACAGCACTGACAGTATAACAAAGCAAAGGACACACCCACCCAACCCCCAATTCCTTCACAGAGGCAACTATTATTTTCAGTTCTTTTAGCTTTTTCTTTTCTTTTCTTTTCTTTTCTTTTCTTTTCTTTTTTTCTGAATGTATTTAGACGTTTAAGAAACTCAATGGGATATATTTTGGGATTATAAGTAGCGGCTCAGGAAACTGCTTTAGTCAAAAGTTTGGCTTTTGTAATAATATTGCATATGTCATTAGAGTAATAATATTGCATATGTCATTAAAAGTGAGCAAGCAATGTACTTTGTGATGTGAAAACTGGCTAATATTTGATATGTTCTAAGACCAAAGGGGACAACTGGATATAAGTATAGCACAACCCTAGGTTTTATTGGCAATATCAATGAATTCCTCAGCATTGCTGTCCTATGTGGGTTTTTGGAGCTATGTTTTGCTCAGCAGTTCAGATTTCATAATGCTTAGGTTACTAAGGGACCATGTAAGTACTTACATCTCTGGAAATGTCAAGACTGTGGATGTAATAATAAAACTATATGAAGGAAGGGACTCTTGTGAGGATACAACCCCAAAGCTTTCAAATACTTCAAGAGACCCAATTCTGAGAATGCTAATGCATGACAGAAATGTGATCTTGCTGGTATCTTGTTCATGGGTGAGGGGATTGGCAGAGACTAGAGGATGATGAGTGTGTCAGAGGCACCAAGACTGCCATCCCTGGGTCAGATCCCTCTGCACATGACCAGCGATGGTGTGTGTGTGTGTGTGTGGCACAGAAGCTCTGAATGGAGTTGGGAGAGGAAGAGCTTAGAGAACAGGGCAGAGTGGTTAACCCAACCGAGGCTCTTGATTAGTTTCTGAGTCACAGCTTGGGAGTTCCTGGAGGTGCAAGAAGAGGAGCTGGTGTTACTTCTCCATCTTCCTCTCATTGACAGATACAGTGGAAGGTGCAATGCAATGACCGAAACAAAGAACTCTACCATCACTATAGCCAGCAATGCCTAAGAGAGACCCCTCAGTTTTAATTGTGATGGTGATATACACTTCCAAATGACATGGAAAACAGTGTAACACTGGATGCTGAAGACCTGGGTACAGATCAATCAACACCCGATTTAGTTATACCGAATAATCAGTTACCTTGAGGATAAGTGTCCTGCCCTTCCATATATATATATTTTTTAACTGCCTGAAATATTTCATCATTCAGTTGGAAAAAAAAAGTCTTGCTTTTTAAAAAAGTAAGATTTATTGCTAAGTTAACACTCCTTTTAACCAAAATAGCCATGTAATATTTGTTACCTAGACAGCTTGCAATCAATTTATTACTCGTTTACTTCCCGTCATTCAGAAAGCTTAAAAGTCGTCTATGCGAACACATACAATTGGGCATGTAGCTTTAAAATCATTATTTGTCGCTTTGATCACTACTTTTTAGTTTTAATTCACTGTAGACCTCAGAGGCTTTTTCCTGAATTTTATTTTATTGGGTGCTTAACCACAGTTCCCTTTTGCATCAACCCTTTGGCTTCTAGGTGTTAAATAAAATAGCCCCGGGGAGAAAAATAGATGAAGAATAGCCACAGTGAAGGGCCGTTAATCCTTACTATTGATGATAAGAAACTCTTTTAATGTCTATTGGTCACCTCCAGCAGAACGACTCAGAAGTTGTGCCCTTCAGCTCAAGACCCAGACAAACTGTCAAAATGTGGTATGATATCAGTGCCTCAAATTGGTTTTTATTTTTAATGCATTAAAGTTAAAACTGGAGGTTGTTAAATTGCTCCAAGTATATAGAGATAGAAATCCAAAAGAGAAGAAGAGTTCAAAGTCATTGAACTTGAAATTGCCAGGAGGAATCATCTGATTTTCTTTATCTTTCCCTTTTCCTGTCCTTCCACCAATTTCCACTTCTCTGTTAAAGTTCCTGATATGTTTCTTTATGACACTGTATTAGCCCCCAAAGCTACTATCACCCATATTTGTGTTTTCAATGATCCAGAATGCAAGAGAAGGAAGGTGATGTTCTTCACAGCCTCACAACCATCAGTCTTCATGGTAGGTCTATGTGCTGTTCACTCTGTTTAGTTCCTATGGTTTTCCCCTTAAGCATTTTGAGATCCCTGACTTTATAACATTCTTCATTTTTATGTATTTTTTTTTATCACCCTATAATAAGGTCTAAGAAAGTGGCTTTCAGACTGGTCTCTGAGAGGTTAGGATAACCTGTACTGACCCAATAGCTTTTTATTATGGAAACTGTAGAATCTTCAATGAAGATCAGCACACACATTAGTTAGATTTGTGTGCAAAGATGAGCTAGCGCTGTTTGTCAAGGCAAGGCTCAAAACTGTTCACCTTGGGTCTTTCTGTCGGTAGAGGTAAAATTAGAAAGCTGTCAGGAGTCAGCGCTTCTCTCCAGTTTACACCAGTATCATAATCACTGGTAAGCTCTGTGTCAGTTGCTTTTCCATAAATAAAGGTCAAAATCAGCTTAGGGTGTTTTAAAAATAGTAATACCTGAGCCACAGGCCTTGAAATCCTATTTACATTGTTCTGAGCTGGGCCTGGTCACCAGGATTTTTCAAAGTCCCCAAGTGATGTTAATGAAAACATGGTGAGAACCACTGGCTTGGAGTTTCTATGCAGAAGTGACAGTGACTAATAGGGATACCGAATGCATTCTTAAAATGCTAAATCCTATAAGTCACCCACTTCATTTGGGGATGTCAGATAACACATTCTCCAGGTTGACTTTCAGCGGCATAAAAATAGGTCCCAACCTCAGGGCAGAGCGGGGCCACATACGCCCCAATCATACCCGATGACCTGGTATCCACTGCCTGTGCGATTCAATTTCACACGTCAGCCCTAAAAGACATTTCAACAATTTGAAAAGCCAGGTATTTTAGATATACACTCAATAGCGGTCAATAAGATCAAAGCTCACCCTGGATCCTAACCTCAAGATCTCCACATTCCACCCCATTTTACATGTTTCCCTTTTTCTACCTGTCCAGTCTAACTTCTGCTGCCTAGTTCTGTGCTAGGGAAACAAGAGGCAGGCAATGCATGGTTAGTAAACCACTATCGCCAAATAAAGTATGCCCCTGGGCTTCGGAGGAGCTATATGAGCGAGGCTACTTAGCATCATTTTCTCCCCCTGCTGCGAACAAAGTGCTGTGACATCACAGCACAGAAAGCCTTGCTGAATTCGGGAGCGCTGGTCCCTAGCAGAGGTGCCTAATATATGCCAGTAGCATCTGATGATTTCAGATAATTGCGTTAATTATTGTAAAATGAAATGCTCACCAATGTCATGGGTTTTACGGCTAGCCTCTAAGTTCTTACACTTTATTATTCTATAAGAAATGAAGGTCATCAGAGCTTTATGATTTAAAAAAAAAAAAGTTAACCTAGAGCAACCTTATCAGTATTATCTTCTGCTGTTGGTATGTGTCTTTTATGACATACTCACAGCTACGCTGAAGGCAGTGTAAGTTTAGGTAAAATGGTACAAAAGAAAAAAAAGCGGCCATTGGCTGCCATCTCCATTTAAAATAATTTCTTAGCTGCCCATGTTTTCAGGGGAGGTATAAAAACTGCCTCCCCTTTAACCTACATTGTAAGTAATTCTGAAGCATCATTATGCCTGGGCACATCTGGTCCTGGATTGCTTCTGAGTCCTTCCATAGTTTGCAGAGCATGGCTTTGCCCATCACTCCAGCCCCACCTCTACTGCTCCCTGCATCCCACAGTTCAGATGCTCATGCACCTGTCCATGGAGGATACACTAAGTTCTCCCCAAACACAAACCTTAGGAGAGCTAGGAGAAAGGTGAAGGGTGAATGCATTGTTTTCTCATTAGATATGTTCCTATGGTTTTTTTTTTAGGGCTGGGCACTGGAGCAATACCTACTTCTGGAATGTGCCCATAAGATGGAAGGGGCTGGTTTCTGAAAGGGTCACCTGTGGGAAGTTGCTTGGCAGGGAACAGTGGTGTTGGGAGTATGGCTGTGAATGCCAGCTGGTGAGCAGAGCATCTGGTGTGATGGAAGGAAACAGAGCCCTGTAGGGGTATTCAGACTTCCTCATCCTCTGACTGCTCAGAGCATCCAGTCACCA